CTGCAACAAGCGTGAGTGCAATAATTGTCTTATTAAAACTGTCCCCAAAATACTGAAAACTAAAATAACATAAAAGAGGGTGGCAAAAGGTTTTTGCGTGACATATGACTGCCCCAAAATTAGCCGTGTGACGCGGGACAGGACATCATAATGTGATGCATGATTTGCTATATTACAAGCACGTGACGCCTGTTTTACCAACTAGATTTCCATGACAAGTGAACGTTCTTTGAACTAGAAGGATACCAGTCATTCAAAGTAAATAGTAAATAGAGTTTTAAAAAAGATCAATATATAGTGGCAGACGTGACACCATTCTCTGGTCTTTTTTGTCCTTTTCTTGGCCTCTGATGTCTTTAATCTTTGTGGATTGTCATGGTGTTATAGGTCCAAACGGTTGCAACACAACAGGAATAAGTCAATTGAAAATTGCTAAACTTTGCACAAGGACCATGAGCTTCACTGATTTTTGTCCATTTTGTCAACCAATCAGTTTTGGCAGTGCATCAGACCATATCCAAATCTCAGGCTAATGCATGAAAGGTCTGAAAGAATGTTGTTCCAAACAGGCGAAACAATATGAGACGTCAGAGTTTGGTGTCATTCTATTCCAGCTGAGAAGACTGTTGTGTTGGCAATGAGAGACTACACAAGGAAGAGGACTGTGAACCACTTGATGAAGGTCGTCGTAAAGACCTAACTGAAATCAAAAGCCACATTATGTCATTCTCAGACATAAAAACGTTGCCATACAGAAGAGGATTGCAGGGGTAAAGCTTTGACAAAATATTGCCTGTATATCAAAGGTGGCATAGATGTCTTCTTAATTCGTATACAAGATCTCTGCCAACTTAGCCTGTGAACCGGCTCCCAATAGTGTTATAGGGGAAGGAAAAATAACACACACGCCGAGAGTGGTCTGAAGAGGGGAAAATCCCACCCCGCCAGGCTCGCTTCACTGGCCCTATATTTATCTTTTTTTTCGCGCTCTTAGGATGTCTCTCCGCAGATGGTATGTACCAACTCTCCCAGATTATCCAGGAGCCTTCTGGATAAAGACCGAATCTCCAGTCTCCCGAACAGGTCACCAATTTTATTTTAGCCAATAATTGTCATTTTTGGGGGAAAATGTTTGGAATATTTGCCGATGCATTCCTGTGGCTGAATTAGCAGAGTTCTCCTTTTAATGAAGTTTTTAGAGTCAAGAAAGTAAAACTGGCGATGCGCCTTTCTTCCTTTTACATGACGCGTGATTGGTGAAAAAAAATTCTCCATGATGCGAGATTTAATAGAAAAATTCAGCGTGCAGCATTTTTTTTTTTTTTTTTTTTTTTTTTTTTTTTTTTTTT